ATGAGCATAGTGAGAGGGGCGCCTGACAGGAGAATATTATCTTTTCCCGAGGCAAACATCGGTATTCTAGACAAATGAACGGATAAAAGACACCTTCCGCACACACTTAGTGAGACACACAGTTTGTGTGTTCGACCATCGATTTCGATGAAGCCCATTATATGCATACACCAAACAGGTTGGTGCAGTGGATGTGACTGGCCTCAGGGCGTAGATTATAGTGATAGCAGACGTATTTGGCGCCAACCACACTCTTCACTTTCGCCCGGGGTCAAGAAAACCAAACGGTAATCGGCGTTGGCTGCTTTCTCCAAAGAAAAGCCAGAAACATCGCCTAAGACTGTGTCTCAGTCTGTTCAAATGGAAAATGTCCTTTTGGTTTTCTATCAGGTAAAAAAACAGGTTTATAAAACCGAAGGTTGCATCAATTTATCCACGGGTTTCATTTCCACACCGATGGTGCCTGATACTGACGCTTCGCCTGTTTGCTCTTCCCTCTAGAAACGCCCTCATGAGATCAGTCAGGAGCTGACGCTGTACTTCCGTGAACTCACAGAGGCCTGCGTGGGAGCCAACGAGAACCGTCGTCATGAAGCGTTGGATAACGCGGCCCAGGACACGGGCCTACAGCCGCTCCTGCCCTACTTAGTTACCTTCATCGCTGAAGGCGTGAGTTGTTTTGCTCCTTTGAGTTATCACTACTCCTACCACTACCGACGAAGTCCAGGTTGGTGAGTGAGTGATGGTGAGTGGCCACAATGGGGTAGCTTTAAAGTCATAGCAGATGTAGTTAGCGCCAGCCACACTCTTTATCCTCCCCATGGGTCAATAAGACCAGAGTGGATCCGGCTCTGGCCGCTTTCTCCAATGGAAGCCAGAAACACCGCCTAACTTAGTCTTAAGTGACAGTAGACTTTGTGCGGGTACTACTGCACTACCTACCCTCAATCCCCCTCAGTAGGTGTCAAGACAGGCTCAGGGAGTCCGAGACGGATATGCCTACTACTACTACTACTACTACTACTACTAGTACTACTACTAGTACTACTACTACTACTACTACTACTACTACTACTACTACT